GCTGGGTAGAAGCTGTTTGCTCCTCTCCCAGCGCCATATTGTGGGAGAGCAGATGCATAGAATAAGTCTTAATTCCAGTAACTTAATCTAGTCCAGAGTTGCTCCCCACAGAATATATTTTTTCTCTGAACATATATCTGAGATCTTTAAATTTTATTTTCCATAGGTTTCATAAGGAACAGTCCCCATCACAAATGAAAAGAAGTTTTAAAGAATTCTAGAATAGTTTGGCACATCTAAAATCGTCCCTGGTTTTTACAAGACATGGTTATAACATCAGAAATGGTTCCTTGACAAACAGCTGTGAGACTAAACTCATATAAGAAAGCTGGATTCCAGAAACGTTATAGGCCTATACTGCTTTGCTCCTCATACCCTGGAAGCCCGTTCCAGGTGAGACTCAATCCAAACCTTCAGGGCCTCCTCACATCCTCCCAGAGAGGAACCTCTCCAACTTCACAGTGGGATCAGCAGGCCAGCATCTGCACCACAGCCACCCAAGGCAACACCAGGACAGAGGTACACTGGTGTGGTATGAGGTCTGATCATGTGTGTTACTCAAGCTGAGCAGCTGTGAATGAATAGGGAGCACAGAGCTGAATTAATGGAAAATGTTTAATTGCTCTTTTTCATCGAAAGAGCTACTTTGGCTAGTGGCTAGAGACATGTCTGGGGTTTCTGAGAGGGACACTTTCATACTCTATCATATGCTTTATCTATTTATTTACTTATTTATTTTTTTCAGGTTAAAAGGCCTAAGCTTACTTTCTTAACTATAATGGGATCTCGCCAGCACAAAAGTCAACAAATTCACAGGAGACAGAAGACATTCTTGGTTTGATTGCTCCTAATAAACTTCAGTGCTTCCAGACCACAAAATTGTCATAGAATTATTTGTAATGCTTCTTTAAAAGGGTGACAAGGTTCAGAAATAAACTGCACGTGGTAAGAAGAGCCTCCCTTGAGTGATCCCTGCAAAATGAGTTGCAAGGCACTGGGAGTGGTGGTGGTTTCCGGCCATTAGCGTTACTAATCAAGGCCAGCTTTGCATTTATGGGAATCTACAGAAATCAGGATGATACATGTGATGCTCACTCAAGCAACCCTGCCTGATGCCTTCAAGGTTATGCAGAAACAAAACTTTACTCCAATTATCTCTGATTGGAATGCTTCATGATTTTTTATATATCCTTGAAATAAAGAGAGCCCAGGAAATAGATACATTAGGTCTGCGGGTCACAGAATCATATTTAGTACTGCAAGCTCACATAAAGCAATTACCGTCAACTTTCAATTAACCTCGGTACTGAAGGAAGATGTAGTGTAGAAAGCACAAAACCTAGATAACCTACCCGGGTCTGTCTTTGCTGCCTTGGTTGCAACTGAGGTGAGACAGAGATAATGGGAGCCCCAGGAAAATTTGCTCGGGGCTAAGAGGCTCTTCAGAGAACCCTGAGCAGAGGTGATAAATTCAGCCACCATTCTTTGCTCTCTTTCTATGCCCACAGCCTTTCTGCCCCACATCATAAAGCAAAAATAACCTTGTTTTCCCGGTAAACTTCCGATTGACAAGCAGAAAATGTGAAGTGGAGGAAGCCACTCCGCGAATCTGGCAGTCCCCTGGCAGAGCAGGGGAGACTTCTGGGGCCCCAGATTGCTCGGAGCTGAGGCTGTGCACTGTCTACCTGAGGATGTTCAAGCCACACCCAGTATTCCACTGGGTGTTTGTTTCCATAGGATTTCAACTGCACCACCCGAAATAGTAAGAGATGTTGATTTGTAAATGTTATCATTAATCATCTGCACACATGATAAAGCGTTCTCTACTGCAGATTCCCACAGGCATTACAACGCTGCATCCATCCAGTCCTGGGCATCACTGCTATTCTCATCCTTCTGACGTGATCAGCCCTCCAGGCCGGGCAACTTCCTTCTTGGCCAGGAGGCACAGGAATCATAAAAAGGATGCCTCGTCAAGCAATTTGGCTTTGCACCAGGAATGGTTTGGCACTTTAATAAGGAAGGAAGTCTCAAGTCATATGAATAAACTTCCAGTGGGATTCTAAACCTTTTTGAGCAGTACAGGACACAGAAAAAGGAACACAGGGACATGTGGACACCTTTCAAGCTACAGCAAATATACAGACTCAACAGAAAGGAAAGCTGGAGATAACCTCAGAGAAAGGGCAAGAATTCACACAAGTACATGTTTTCATTAAAAAAAATCTTGAGGCTAAAATACTTATTAAATAGCCACATTCAAATCTTCTATAGACATAACTTAGAAATAAAATGAATGAGATCTTAAAAGAAGGCATTTGTTGAGATTGGTTAATTTTTTTTCACTCAAAATGAATTTCTATGTACTGGAGGGAGAAATCTGATGTAAATTGGGAATATATACATATATAAAGTGAAATGACAGAGTAAGAAGGAAACAGGAGAAACCATGGAAAATGCAGTATTTCTAGAGAATATTGACCAAAGTTCTTCTTAATAGGAGAGACAGAGATAGAGAACAGAAAGAAATGTAGCCAAGGAACTTCTAAAAGTTCAGAAAAAATAACAGGATAGAGACTGTAAAAGGAAAAGTAACTCACACATCACAAACGATTGTGAAAAATGGAAATAATGACCGTGAAATATCAGTGAGCAAAGAAAAGTGAGCTAAAGAAATCAGCAAAGTTGCACACCTCTGATTCAACACTGTTGATTCTTCCATTTCTTCTATGAATTTAAAGAAAACAGTTCACCTCCTGCGAGCTAGGCAGCATGGCAGGCCCCAGGGAGCAATGCTGCAAAAACCAGTCCTGCTGTCAGGAAACGCACACACACCTGTCATGGAAATGTGGCTTCTGGTTAAAAACGAGGGTGAGGAAGAAAGGTATTTTTATTCCTCTCTCTTATTCTAAAACAGAATCAAAACAACACCCAGTAAAAAATGAAGGAAAACATCAGATGTAATGAAACAAGAAAAAAATAAATAAAGGCACCACTCACTTTACAAACTATGAAACACAGGTGGGCTAAATGAAGAAAGGACACAAAAGTTGACGGATACCTCAAGTCTCAAGCACAAAAAGGTGCAAAAGTTTACCGTAAATGAAATGTCATTAACATCTAATGAGCCACTGAAGACAGCTGCAAGGTTCATAATGTAAGACAGAGTCTTCTTGTAGAAACACAGTTTGATACCATATTCATACACACACACACAACTTGAAATTTCTAGATAACTCTCTTACACAAAAAGCATGTCCTGGAGCCGGCAGTTTGGCACAGAATGAGGGTTAAGCCACCACTTGTGACCCTGGCATCCCATACTGCAGTGCCAGCTAGAGCCTCAGTTGTTGTTCTTCCAATACAGCTCCCTGCTAATGCAACTAAGGAAGGCAGTGGAATATGGCTCACTTGCTTGGGCCGCTGCCACCTATGTGGGAGACCAGATGGAGTTTCTGGTTTCTGGCTTCTGGCTTTGCCCTGGCCCATTTGGGGAGTGAATCAGTGAATAAAAGTTCTCTTTCTATGTCTGTGTCTGTCTGTCTCTCTCTCTCTGATGCTCTGCCTTTCAAGTAAATAAGTCTTCTAAAGAAAAAAAAAGAAGAAAACATATCTTTACACATTAAGCCAGTGGAAATTTTTTCTTAGATAACCATTCTGATGGAAACAATTTGAATTTTATTAGGTAAGTTAAAAAAATAGTAACTAGTCCATAGAGCATTGGATCCTGCTATTTTAAACAGAGAGTTCTGCTAGATGGTTTCAATCACCCATTTATTTGGGTTTTCAGAAGAATGAAGCTATGAGAAGAAGAGTATCACCAGATCACAATGCTTCCCTACCCTTTTGTTGATCTCAAGAGTTAAGAGCTATTTCACCAAGAAAATACAGCTCAACACACTAAAATGGCAACTGAGTGACAACGTGAGTGCCTACTAACTGGTGGTCTTCATGCAGCAAGTGTGGGAAAGCTCCTGCCAGCTACAGACCTGGAAAATATGAATAAAAGCTACTGGAAAGAGTAGGAGAACAATTTTCTGACTCTTCCCACCATGAGTGTTGGAACTGGCACAGATGCAAGACCATGTGACTGGTGCTTCCATTTTCCAAGAAATCAATGGGTGGATGAAAGGTCTGATTTTGAATTATGTAACAAATTCTGACTTGTCCTCATGATTTGAGACATACAAGAATTCTCTTATTCTTCTCCTGGCTACACATAGATAAAAATCTATATAGTCTCATGGGCCCTTTAAAGCATCTCGTTCACATGCAGACAGTGGAAAATTCATAGACTCATGAAGGAGATTGGACTATGGGATGGAAATCTAACAGAAAACAATGAAAATCAATAAAATTATAGATCCAAACATTAAGCAGCATTTACTTCAGTGACATTAGCTAATGGTACAGTTGAGTGAGTGAAGAAGTATGAAATAACATTAATTTCTTCTCCCAAGTTCAAAAACGCTAGAATGATCAGCCAAGGACCATACACTTCAAGTCTGAGCTGCTTGGGAAACAGATAGGAGCTGAACTGTGTCCCCTGCAAAATTCATATGTTGAAATCTTATACCCCAGAACCTTAGACTGTGACTGTGTTTGGAGAAAGGGCCTTTAAAGAGACAATCAAGGTTAAATGAGGCCACTGGAGTGGGGAGGAAGGCAGCCTAACTCACTATGACTGTTCTCCTTGTAATAAGAGAAAATGAGGGCACAGTCAGGCACAGAAGGAAGAAAATGTGGAGACACAGTGAGAGGACACCCTTTCCAAGTCAGAGCGAGAGAGGCCTCAGAAGAACCAACCCTGCCAACACCTTGATGTCCGACTTCCAGCCCCAGAACTTCTGGTCTCTGTTGTTTACACCACCCAATCTGTGGTCCTTTGCTACAGCAGTCCCAGAAGACTAACAGACAAATCTCCTGTTTTTCTCATACAAGTCTGAAACAACACTCAAGTTCCTTTTGTGGCTGAATGCATTCAAAGTGTTCATACTCACAACGCCCACAGGAAAGGCCACCACGGCTAACATCCAGTCACGAAGAGAGATGAGCTTCTTGAGCTGTCTCTCCTGTTCTTGGCTCCCACTGCCTCTGGTCAGGAGACTGGAAAGATCAGTCAGCACACAGATGCCGAAAAAGACAGCCTGGATAACCTGTGGGAAACAAAAGTGGGACTCAGTCAGTGAACTCTCAAGAGGGCCAAGTGCAGAACATGCTGTATGTTCACACTGGGTGCATAGTAAGAAAAGATAAAAATCACATTTACAGAACTGGCCCGACCAACAAAAAATCCTGAGATATTTACAACTTGCTAGTATAGGTGAGAAAACTCATCTTTAAAACACTACTTCCATTTTCACTCACCTCCAGACAAGTGAAAAACATGCACCCATCTAAAGAGGCCCAACAGAAAGCAGTATCAATGGTCAAGTTGGCACAGCCATTATTTTAAAGTATCACATTTATGGCTTTTATTATACTTATATTGAATACATTAACTAGTGAGGTGTAACACAATACATGAGACAATTCAATCTAAAAGTGAAGAAACCTTTCCTATGCTTTCATCTCTTAGATTTAGACAATCCTTCCCAACAACAAAGTGGTAGAATGCTGATGCTCCAGTCATAAAGAAACCAACTGAACACAATAATCGGCATTCTAATACTGAGCAATTTCTATTATCAAACTTGAATGAAATGACCTCCCCTCAAGATTTCAGTATTTGTGAAATAAAATTGTTCTAAAGCAAATGTAGATGTCTTTCATATGTTTCAGAAAAAGTTATCAGTTGCTTAGTCTCAAATCAATTGCAGATTGAGTCACTTGCATCAGTTATGTTTTCCTTGGATGATCAAAAAGGTGAGAAACACTGATACACCAAAGACCAATAATTTGTGAGATTCCTAAAGTGGAGGAAAACTGACAATCTAGAGCAGTGAGTGCAGGCAGGCAGCATACTGTAATATAGCTAGTCAACTGATCATTCAAATATGGAAAGGGCAGAAGACACAGCGTACTTTAAAAAGTTCATGGGAAAATGAAACTAAAGTAAGCTTATTTTGGTGCAAAAAAACAATTTGAAATCCCTACATAAAGGGATCTTCAAAAAATGTCATGGAAAGTGCATATTATGCATAAACTATGCATGGATTTAAACACATTTTTGTACCAAAATAAACTTATTTTTAATGTCAATATTTTCCACAAACTTTTTGAAGTACCCTCTTATAATATTTCCTGGACTCAAAACCATACCCATTTGGCACCAAAAATGGATTTAAGAGGAATTTTCTGGCTGTTTTTTCTGGAAATAAGTTACAGATGAGATATTTATAAAAGATGTAGTTCTACTCATTACTTCTTTAGAAAACACAACAAGTATGTTTTTTGTACATTTCCACATTGGCAGTGGAAAACTGATGAAAGCTCTGTGGCTGGGCTCTTCATGTAGGCACAGAACAAAGGGACAGGGGTCCTAAACAGTTTCAGATCCCACACCATAGCACAGCACTGGAACACCTCAACTGTTAATCTAGACCTTTTGGAGCTCACCAAATTCTGTGATTATTAGTTAATCTTAGCCACAGTAATAACACATCTTTCCTTATAACCTAGCCTGTCCTTAGTTTCAATGATTTAAAGTTTATTGTCATTCTTAAAGACACCCAGAAAAACCTGAATAGGAAAAGCTGAGACTACCACAACTGATGATGGCAGATATGTTGGCATGAATCATGTTTTGATAACCAGAAATAACTTAATTGACTCAAATGTTACTCTGATGCTTAGGACAACTTTCCATTCATCTCACAGGACTTTAGATGCTGAAACTCTGTTAGTCCTACTGGAGATTGGGAAATTGGAGTGAGACCTTACTGGCGAATAATAATCTCCATATAATTCTGGATAGTAAATATACACTAAAGAGAATCCTACATAACTAGTAACTGGGGAAATGCCAATAAAGTCCACAATGAGATCATATTTCTCATCAGTATAATTATTTTCAATTTAATTCTCATAATACCAAGTGTTATAAAGATTTAAAACAGGGACCAGCACTGTGGAGTAGCAGGTAAAGCTGCTGCTTGCAAGGCTAGCATCCCATATGGGTGCCAGTTAATGTCCCTGCCACTTCTGATCCAGCTCCCTGCAAATGGCCTGGGAAAAGCAATAGGAGATAGTCCAAGCACCTGGGCCCCTGCCACTCATGTAGAAGACCTGGAAGAAGCTCTTGGCTCTTGGCTTTAGACTTGCTCAGCACTGGCAGTTGTGGCAACTACTTTAAAGAAAATTGACAATATTTAGACTTAATATTCTATTTGCCAAAGGACTTAGCTATGAATAGTATTCTCCACAGAAACTCTCATAGGTGTATACTAGTCACATCTACTGAAAGCTAAATTTCAGCCTTAGGTGCTTCAAAAAAGAGCAATCTATATGCATCTCAAACACATAATCAACTTTTAATTTTTACAATGAAACATTAAACCAAGAAAAACTAAGTTATATTTTATATCATTAAACTATTTTTAAATGTAAAGAGAAATTTAAGGATGCAGCTAGACATATGTTAAGTAAAATATGAAGAAATGTGTGAGGATTAACACTGAACTCAAGCACCCTTGCAGGGGAACATCTGGTCCATGGGTCGTGGTAGGCCTTTGAAATACTTTGATCTGGCTCTGCTAAGGCAACCACAACTGAGACTCAAAATGTAATAAATCTATATCAGGCTGATTTTGAGCTTGATAATTTTGTATGGCCCGCAGATGATGTTATAAATATCCAAATGGTCCTTGGCAGAAAAAAGTTTCCTCACCTCTGCTGGAAAGAAGAAGGACACAAGAGGCTCAAATGCATTGATTTAATTTTTAATTCTTAAGTTGATTATTTGGGTATTTTGATGTTTATTATATTATTATTTTCATTTTCCTTAGCATGAAATATTTCCAAATAACTTAAAAATAAAAATTTAAAAAGGGAATAGCTTGTATACTTTCAAAATATATGAGTGGAGCTGGCACTGTGGTGTAGCAGGTAAAGCTGCCGCCTGTAGGGCCGGCATCCCATATGGGCGCTGGTTTGAGTCCCAGCTACTCCACTTCCAATCCTGCTCTCTGCTATGGCCTGAGAAAGCAGTAGAAGTGGCCCAAGTCCTTGGGCCCCTGCACCCATGTGGGAGACCCAGAAGAAGCTCCTGGCTCCTGGCTTTGGATCAGCCTAGCTCTGGCCATTGTAGCCACTTGATGAGTGAACCAGAAGATGGAAGATCTCTCTCTCTCTCTCTCTCTCTCTCTGCCTCTCTGTAACTCTGCCTTTCAAATAAATAAATAAATATTTTAAAAAATAATATATGAGTGGCCAGACTCTTGCAAATCCTTTACTTCCAACTTAGCTTTCCCTAGTTTTAAAGACAGGATAAAATGACAGGATTTGTTGCACTCAAGAAGTGATTGTATTATACATGAACAACGTTCTGCAGGATTAGTGTATATGGGCAAAGGAAATAAAGTCTTAGCTTGGTAAATATGAAATATAAATATCTGAAAGGCATTGTTTTTTAATGTGGCCCAGGAAATTAGGTGACTTGGCCATAGTCTTCATCGACGAAGGGAAGTCCTTCTTATAGCTACTTCCATACCTCCCAGAAACAAATGAATTCACTACCACTGTGCACTTTTACACTCCATGATATAGTTAGTGAGGGTAAACTTGCCTTCCCATCATAAATGATCGTACATATGGACTGAATATAAGTCAATTTTTTAAGATACTGAACTTCGCCCTTTGTAGACAGTTGGAGAAATCTTTTTTTAAAGAGCTCTTCAGATGACATCAAGTGCAACTTGGGTTATCTTCCTTTTTGCTACAAAGTAATACAGTCAGAGAAGTGATCACATTTAATGGTTATTCACAAGGCCAATAATAAGGAACTATACAAGGGTAAGTACCATTGGGTGTCATCATAGAAATCTACCTAACACAAATTATATGCTAGACAATTCTCAGAATGTATTCAGCCTGGAGAGGTCAACTGGAGGTCAACTACACAGTAAAGGCCTTATAAAAACTAAAAGTCATTCATAAGAGACCAAATAAGTTTCTTGCCTAAATAGTGACACTACAATAATAAAGAAATCAAGACTGATATAGGTCTACCCCAGCAGTACCTAAAAACAAGCCTCAAAAAACTCTAGCTGATATACAACTAATTTACATTCTTAGAAAAGCAAAATTCTACATACTTTAAAGGGCGATAAAATTTAGACATTCAAGAATATAGCACATGGTGTCCAAATAGCAAATAAAAATTACTTAGGAAGTAGGAAAATACTCAAAGGAGCCTCAACCAGGAGATAAAATATTCAGTACAGATACTAAGTGACAAGTATTATAAACAACAGAAACTTTGAGGGAAGGAGACTGGTCAAGTTGAAAAATACTGAAGTAACTGCAATATTTAAATTTCTTGAAAACTATACACTCAGATCCAAAAAGCTTAAAATAATATGATATTAAAAATAATATTTTTATTTACATACAAAGAAACAATACCCAGACAGAGTATAATCAAATTTCTGAAAATCTGTAATAAAGGGAACATTTTTAAAGTCAGTGGATGGAAAAGATGTATCACATACAGAAAAAGATAAGAATTAATCACAGATGTTCTATGTACAATGTTCCAAGCCAGAAAACAATGGAATGATTATCATTAAAGTGTTACATGGTCAAAAAAGAAAGAAAGAAAAAAGACAAAAAAAAAAAAAAAACCTGTCAGAGGTGAAAAACTCTTTAAAACAGAAATTGAGAGAATTCATTGTCATTAGACTTTGACTGCAAGAAATCTAAAAGAAAAAACACTGATACCAAATATAACAGCAAATCCATATGGAGCAATGAAGATGGCTGAGAAATATCAAATATGTTCATATGCAGATAAATACAAAAGATGTCTCTTGGGGCTGGCATTGTGGCATTGCAGGTTAAGCCACCATCTGTGACATCAACATCCCATATGAGTGCCAGTTTCAGTCCTGGCTGCTCCACTTCTGATCCAGCTCTGCACAAATGACTTGAGAAGGCAGCAAAAGATGGCCCAAGTAGTTGGGCCCTTGTGACCCATGTGGGAGACCTACATGGAATT